ATTACCTTGCAAATTGTTGTAGCGAAGAAGAAGAATTTCGAGGTTTGTCAAATTTCCAATCTCACTTGGAAGGATTCCTGGACAAAGTACATATGAAGCCATTTTATTGATCAAAGTATACAAATGATGTGGTAGATTAAGACTAAAATTACAAAAAATTGTTTTCCACATTTTAAATATAGCAAGTGGTCCCATCAGCCCATGATCTTACCTTTTCTTTATTTTGACATCGTAATATTGTTTGCATATAATATACACAAATAATAAAGAAACTTCACGTGGCTTACGTACTAATTTCTAAAACTTGAACATGTGTGCTATACAGATTAATCCATGCATAAATATTAAAAAGGGAAAAGGCAAATTTCCTCTAACCATCAAATTTCTTACCTTTTAATATTGCAAATGAGTACATTAAGTTTAACTATATAACTTTTATGCATTGCCAATTAATCATGTACAGCATAAAGCATTAGACTGATTTTTCTGCAATTTATATCTGATGAAGAAATTTGTTTTGCACAGTTTTAGCGAGAAATTTTTAAGTAAACTTTGCTTATTATCAATTGAACGTACCGAATAATTCCACTTTATAATTATTCACAATTGATATTTTATAATTATTTTATTTAAATAAATTTCTTTTTTATTGTGATAAATAAGGAAAAACGCACCTGCAAACTTTTCTGTTTTTAGTATTAAACTTATCCCATCCTACAAATAAGTCGAGAACTTGCCTTAAATATAACAAAAGAATTTCAAGTAATACTCATTTCAATTCGGAAGAGTAAAATACAAAATAAAAATTATTCTTTACATTAATATCAACTTTTTTAAAAAAATTTAAAATAAAAAATTATCAAAATTATTTAATTTTTTGTTGGTAAGAATCATTTAATTTGAAATTAATAAATTTGAAAAATAAAAAAATTACATGTGGGCAAGTGGGCACATTATACGCTGAGTACTTAAGAAATTCTGTTTTTGAAGTGGGCCCATCAGCTCAGTTGATGAGGTCATGATCCTATCTTTCCGTTATTTTGGGATTGTATAAAGGAAAAATGGCAATAAAACATTATTTAAAAACATGGCAAATAAAAACCCTAATATGTGAAATTGTGATTTAGGACCCTTAATTTAAAAAATAATAAATAATGACCTGATCCTATATTACAAATATGAAATTTTAGTAAAATATCTGAAATGACTAGTATTGCTTTTGAAAAATAAAAGTTTTTATACTGTAATTATTGAATAAGTGTTTAATTTGAAATTAATGAATTTGAAAAATAAGAAATTGAAAAAGAAGCATAACAGATAAAAAAATGTACTCTACAATAGAGAGGGAAAAAATATAAAATTAAAGTTATTAGGAAACAGATAAAATCTCAAAAAGGTACTGGCATAAAATAGGTATCTATGTTGCATTTAAATCTGGATGAACAAGCATTTTATGAGTTTCATTTATTGTATAATTTGTAATTGATCTTCTACACATATCTAATAATTTTTGTTTATTGTACATTTTTAATTAATACGTTGTAAATTTTTAAAATATTATAATTTTAATTTCAATTAAACAATGTTGAACTGTTACAATTTATATATATAATAAATAAGTAAAACCAATTCCAAACTTTTCTGTATTTTAATATTATTTAAATATTAATACAAGAGAAAAAATAAAATTAAAGTAATTAAAAGACAGAAAAAATCTTGATAAAAAAGTATTGGGTGGTTTGGAGTTTGTCATCAATAGCATATGTGAGGATTTCATTTTTCTCTGTTGCAAATTGCACGACGTCCATGATTGGGATTTTAAAGAAAAACAAAATCTCATTTGAGAGAAAAATATTAAAAAGAAAAAAACACACAAATAAATAAATGCATACCTGTAAATGAGTTAGTACTCAAACCTAACTCTTTCAAAGATGTGCAGTTACTTATTGATTGTGGAATGCTTCCCTCTAAATAGTTATTGCTAAGGTCAACATGTCTCAAAGAAGGCATGTTCCAAGGAAATGAAGGAATTTCACCTATAAATAAAATACAAAATATTTGTTCATTACTTGGTAGTATTGCAAGCATGTTCCTAATAAAGTCAGACGCACACAAGCATGTAGATAATACATGGAATTTTGATAATTAGATGCTTAAAATTAATATACAATAATTTAATTTTTGTTGGACCGTAGTTTAGAGGGGACTCTTTCAATATTAATGGCCAATTGCTGCACATCAGAGACTATGAAATTAATCTTATCTAATGTAAAATAAACATCCAAAGTATTTAAAAAGACTCTAACTTTAAAATCTGAGGATGAATTCATCATAGGCAAAAAAAGGGCAGAAATTTTAGTTTTTCTTTAAGGAATTTCAAATACTTTTAGTTACACATTTTAAAGATAAAGCATAAAATTAAGGATATAATTTCACCTGTTTCAATTTAAAAGCGGATAAGAACAATTGGAAGTATTAGGAAATCTTTTCAAGTACAATTCCTTTCATCAAATAAAAACAAACATTATGTTGATAGCAAACACATACTTATTCTACTGATCCAAAATTAAATTTTATTTTTCTTTTTAAAGACATTTTTGCTGGGTAAAAATTGGGAGGTACCCCTGAAGATTACTATACCATATCATATATTGATAGTCCACAAAGTTTTTCCAGACCAGTTCTTGCAGGGCTTCCCCAATTTTTTTTTTAATGATCCAAATTATATTTTATTTCTCTTTCCAAAGATTTCTGTTATGAATGAAAAAAAATGAAAAGTAGAATCTCATTTTAAAATTATTTTTCATTTGAGAGATCAAAAACAAAAAAACAAAAAGACACAACACGGTCTAAGACAAATCATATAATTAAAACTATAACCTTGCAAATTGTTGTAACGAAGAAATGATTCCTGGAGCCATTTTATTGATCAAAGTATATAAATGATGCTTTAGATATCAAGTGGTCCCATCAGTCCATGACCTTACCTTTTCTTTATTTTGGCATTGTAATATTGTTTGCATATAATATACATTAAATAAAAAAGAAAATTCATAAATATTAAAAGGGAAAAGCAAATTTCCTCTAACCATCAAATTTCTTTCCTTTTAATATTGCAAATGAGTGCATTAAGTTTAACTATAATTTTTATGCATTGTCAACTAATCATGTACGGCATAAGACATTAGAATACTTTTCAGCAATTTATCTCTGCATGAAGGATTTTTTTTTTTTTTTTGCGTGTGAGAGTCCACATTTTTTTTGGGTGCAATCCCACCTACTTTCTCCCTCATGTTGATTTTTCATACTTCTTTTAAATTTCAAATTAAAAAAATTATTAAGAAACTATTAGTGGAATTTTTTTTTTGTGAAAAGCTTTATTTAATTTTATAAAGAATTGAATGTACTGAATACTTCCACTTCAATATGAATGACTTAAAATAAAATAGTTTAATTAATTATCAGACTATTTAAAACATCTTATATGCTCTCTTTTTTATGAGCTTTTTTTTCTCAACTACGGTTGAACTTGTGTTTATTGAATTATTATCGCGTTTAAATTTTTTAAATTGAATTCTTTATAATTATTCACAATTGATATTTTATACTTAGTTTATTTAAATAAATGTTTATTGTACTACTAATAAATAAGAAAAAACACAACTGAAACCTTTTCTGTTTTTAGTATTAAACTTGTCCTACCATAGAAAAATTTTCATATATTACTAACTCTGGCATGTCTAAAAACAAGTCGAGAACTTGCCTTAAATATAACCAAAGAACCTCAAGTAACACTCAAATATAACAAGTCGAGAACTTGCCTTAAAAGTAATAGGCTACTATCTTCAACCACAACCAAAATAATAGGCTACTATCAATTCATAATTTGATCTTTTAATATGTTGGGATTGTAAATTATTATTTATATTTAAATCTCATTATGGATATGCATGGAGTTGTGTTAATTAGAGGCTTAAAATTATTAAGAAATAATTTAGTTTTTATTGGAAAGCAATTTAAAAGGGACTTTTCTAATATCAAATAATTCGAAATTAAAATTTCTTGTAAAGAAGAAATGTGAAAGGCAGATGATGGAATTAATTTCACCTATTTAAAACGAACAGCCAAATTATTTATATTTTGCATTTAAGTTTTCTAAACCCTGTGTAGAGCAACATAACTTTTTCCTGATGCAAATTAGTTAAGAAAAATGGATTGTGTAAAACATATCATGTATACTAGAATCTTCATCACTCTTAAAGCAATTTCAGCTAAAACATTTTGCAAACATTATAGAACAAGCATATTATATATAAGATTACATATAAGATTCCGCATTTATATTATTTATAATGTTTTATCATTCCATACTATTAGTAGATAATATTTTTCCAATTTTATTTAAGATATATTCCCTTTACATGTCATAAGAACATATGTGATAGACACAGACAAGAAAACGCAGGAGAAAGTGAAAAATAAGAACAGAAGGAATGTGATCGGCGCAAATGCTGATTAGTTTATTTTTCAATGATTCATTATTTTATTTTGGGATGAAGAGAAAGAATCAAATTTCATGTCTTTAGAAGCAATCTAACAAAAGTATTATTCATTAAATTTGTAATGCAAATTCGTGACTTATCAGAATTTAAGACAATCATATAATAATGAAAACTCTTACCTTGCAAGTTGCTGTTGCGAAGAGATAGCCACTGAAGTTTGGTCAGATTTCCAATGTCAATTGGTATGTTTCCTCTGTTGAATTTGTTATATCCCAATTGCAATTCTAATAATTCTGTGCATTGATGCCAAGTGGAGGGTATTTCGCCAGACAAATCATTTCTATTCACAAAAAATATTTGTAGCTTTGGAAGCCCAGCACACACATTTGTTGGGAGACTGCCAGATAAGTTATTTATTGCAAGTTCAAAGTCTTGCAGCACTGAGTTGTTGAATAATGAAGATGGTATTGAACCAGCAAGTTGATTATTTCTAAGATACAGTTTCTTCAGTTGTGAAAGATTCCCAATCTCACTTGGGATGCTCCCTTCAAATATTAGAGGGGAAATAAAGAGAATAATGTCAGTAACAATTTTTATTTATAATAAGTTATTATGCACATTAGACAATTTGCATTTTTAAAAAACACATATAGTAAGACTTGCACATTTTTTAGAAATAACACAAATAGATTCTAAATGATAAAACACAACTGCAATTATTATTTATAAAAAAGAATAACCCTTTCTATTTGGCTGGGCCATTGACCATAGACCAAATAATTTGGACATGTGATTTGTTGAGAAATTTGGATGGCTTAATGTCAGAAAACATAATGGGTTACTCCACAAGGCCCATTACACTGTGTTTTCTACTTCCCTTTATTTTGTTATCTTTTCAGATTTTTTTGGATTCATTAATTCATATTGAGTTCCTCCAATAAAAATTAAGAAAACAAACTAAGATACACATCAAAATCCCATTGACCCTTGTTTTTCATCATGAGACTCCTAGAAAAATAGTTCTTGCAAACTACAAAATTTTTTAAAAAATAAAATTATTCATTTAGATTATCCAAAACAAAATTAAATGTTCCGAGTATGTTTCTTCTAAGACAGACTTATTTTGAAAAAAATAAATCCTTTAGAAACTTTTTAATGACTACATTTATTTTCAAATATTGATGATGAGCCTTTAGATCCTTTTGTACTAATATTCTTTTCCCCAGCCATTTTAAAAATTGGATGTTGAATTTTTAATTAAAAAAGAATAGAAAAATTCTGAAAAAAGTTAGAAGAAATGCATAAAAATATTAAAAAAATAAAAAAAAACAATTGATACAAGCCAGAATTTCTCTAAAAATACCTAACAAACTGTTAAAAGACAGATGAGCTAAGGAATTATATGGATCCAAAGTGATAGAAGATTTAAGAATAAAAAGTACGGATTTATCAGTAGAATAATGTTCGTCTCTGTCCCATTAACAAGAGAAAAACAAATGCTAGATTTTTTTTCATGTTTCGCATTGCAGAATTATAAAAAAAAAATTAGTTGGATTTAAAAATATCCCTAAATATGTATAAACAGCGAATTACTAAAGACCCAATAAAGAGATAAGATATCATCGCCGAAAGTTTTAATGTCGTGTTGTGACCCTAAGATGGAGGTTGAGCTAATTTGTTAATACTGCTAAGATTATTTATCTAAAATTATTTTTAGAGCATTGAATCATCATCTTAATCATTTTAAAAGAGCCGCCATCCTTGAATGATATATATATATATATATATAAATTATTTTTCAGCATGTTGTTTTTTTCTTGGATCGATGTGAGACTCGCTCTGACAAATTCAAATGGATTGTCTCTATATTAGACAAGAAAAACTTAAAAAATTTGCAATTAAGAAGAAAATATAGGGGAAAATGAAAAATTAGAAGCTGGAAAAAACATTGAAATCCCAGCCAACCCTTTTTGTCATCCTTGTCAGGTTATTTTTAATGGGGCTTCCTGTTTAATGATGCGATATTTTACCGATTTTTGAAGATTTTAATTTTAAGCAAGTTAGGACCCCACCTTTACATGTGTGTGAAACTTATAACATGAACTAAATAACGGCCATTACACATTAATTCTGATAAATTCCTATGTGCCATATAAGCTGTATTCACCTCATTGCAAAGATAAGATTATGAGTTTCTTCGATTAACTGTGATTAAGGAAAAAAACTAAGACACACATCGAAGTTCGATTGGCCCATACTTTCCATCATGAGACTCCTAGAAAAAATATTTTTGTTAACTACACAATTTTTTTAAAATAAAATTAATATACAATTTAGATTGTTTAAATGAAATTAAATGTTCCGAATATGCTTTTTGCTAGGCTTACTCATTTTTGGCAAAAAAAAAAAACTTCAGAAAATTTTTAATAACGAAATAATAAACATTTATTTTCGAAGACTGATTATGAGCTTTTAGATCTGTTTGGACTGATATTGTAAGTTTATAACAATATTCTTTTGCCCATGGTTTATGACTTCACTGTCCATTTTTTAAAATTGGTTGACAATTTTTTATTGGGAAAATTGCAATTTAGGACTTTGGAATTGCAAAAACGCAGATAGGGACCCTTGACAACTTCACTTTGGGTTTTGACAACAATAATATGTCATGAAATTGTCAAAACCCAAAGTGAAGTTGTCAAAGGTCCCTATCTGCGTTTTACAATTCCAATGTCCTAAATTGCAATTTCCCCTTTTTTTATTTAAAACAGAATAGGAACATGCTGGGAAAAAAAAAAAGAAATGCATAAAATTTTTTTTTAAAAAAAAACAATCGAGACAAGCCCGGATTTCTCTAAAACATATCTAACAAACTGGTAAAGACAAATAAGCCAAGAAATTATATGGATCCAAAGTGATGGAAGATTTAAGAAAATTTGTCATCATCCTTGTCACGTTACTTTCCATGCTTTTTAGAGATTTTTTAAGCAATTATGACCTCACATTTACATGTGTGTGAAACTTATAATATGAACTACAGGATGGGAAGCAAATCAAAGTTCAAATTTATTTCTATTTCAAAGAGTTAAAAAAAAAAGAAAAGCACAGTATTAGACGCATCAGCACACATGGTGCTCATAGATTCTGAAAAGTATACCATTTTAATTTTATTCTTATTCACTTTGTGATTGAAAGAAAGCATCATATTCCATGTCTTTAAAAGCAATTTAGCAAAATCATTATTCAGCAATATCTTATGAAATATTGGAATATAATTTAATGCAACCACGTAATTAAATCACTGAGCTGATTCCCATATATACTGTATTTTTACTTTTCGCAAAGATAAGATACAATAATTTTAGTTGAGAAAGATCTCCGATCTCAATAACAATGTTTTTTTTTTTTTTACGTGTGACAAGTTATTATGTACATGAGACAATATATATATATATATATATATTAAAATACAGTAAGAGTTGCACATTTTTGAAAAATAAAAAAAATATTCTAAATGATAAACCACAACTACAATTATTATTTAAAAGTATAACCCTTTTTCTTCATCTGGGCTAGTAGCCACTCATTAAATCCATTGGACAGACTCATGATCATTGACATTAAGAAATATATTGAAATCCAATCAGTCCTTCCTTTTCATCATTCCTATTAAAACCCGTTTTTGGGAGACTCCCAGAAAAATTATTTCTGTTAACTCTAAAAACTTTTTTAAACAACAATAATTATTAATAAATAATAAAATAAAAATAAAAATTAGATTATCCCATTCAAAATTAAATGTTCCAAATATTTTGTTCTAAGGTTTACTCAACTTGAAAAAACCCTTTAAAAATTTTTAATGACAGAATAATAAGCACATATTTTCAAAAACTTGTGACAAGCCCATTATTAGATATGTTATTACACTCGTGGTGTGACTGTATAAATCGTTTCATGATTCTGATGATGAATGGTTTTTTCGCTTTAAAAAATAATAGAAAAATTTTGGCAAAATTAAAAAAATTCATAAAAATAACAAAAAAAATTCAAAATTAAAAACAATCAAGAGAACTAGGATAAGATTATGCTAACCAAGTACACTACTTTAAAACAAAAACAAATATAAATATTAGAAATAAACAACAATCATTATTAATAAATAACAAAATAAAAATAAATTTTGGATTATCCCATTCAAAATTAAATGTTCCGAATATTTCGTTCTTAGGTCTACTCAACTTGAAAAAACCCTTCAAAAATGTTTAATGACAGAATAATAAACACATATTTTCAAAAACTTATGACTGTATAAACCGTTTCGTTATTCTGATGATGCATGGTTTTTTCCTTTGAAAAAGAATAAAAAATGGTGGTAAAACTTTAAAGAATTCATAAAAACAACACACAAAAATACCTGACAAATTGTTATGAGACAAACTCAATAACTCCAGTGAAGATAAGTTTGAGATTGTGTTGGGAATGTTTCCTGAAAGTTTGTTAGCTCCAAGATCTAAAGTGCTCAACCGCTGAAGTCTTCCCACCTCAAGTGGAATAGTCCCTTCAATGGAATTAGAAACCAAATTCAAAGTCTCCAACCTTGACAGATTGAATAGAGATAGTGGAATAAATCCATTAAGACTATTATTTCTAAGATTTAGCTGCTCAAGTGAAGATAAATCTCCCATCCATGCCGGAACTGGCCCATGGAAGTCATTGTAGCTCAAATTGAGTAGTTCCAATCTACGCAATTGAACTAGCTCATTTGGTATTTGATCATGAAAATCGTTGTCACTGAGGTTAAGTTCAACAAGGAACGAGAGATTTCCTAGTTGTGGAGATATGGTACCCTTAAGATCCATGCCACCAAGATTCAAGGAGTGGACTCTTCCATGACGAGTATTGCATGTGATACCAATCCAGCTGCATGGAGAAAAAGAGACAGACCAATTAGCTAAGAAATTGTGTGGATCTGAAGTGATAAAGGATTTAAAGGCAAGAAGTGCAGATTTGTCAGTAATGATATTTGTATCACTCCAAACTAAGCAGGCCATGAAGCAATGAAGTAACAAGAGGAAAACAAAAGACGAAGATCTTCCCATTATGTGTAGCATATCAGACTTATCAAAATCTCAAGTATTCTGCATCCAGGAATTAACATACACGTCGTTTTATACTTCTTTGATTCCAAAGCAAACAAAATGCGTAGTTGCAAAAGGACATCTTTCGTGATAAGGTTACAAGAAATTCAACTAAAATTAATTATTTTACTTGTGGTCACATGTTGCAGGCTATGAAATCAGGAGAAGCTTTGCCCTTTAATTTCATTGCGTGTTGGACAATTTCATTTCTGGGACCACACTTTTATTATTGACAGGAAGCTTGTGTACGTGGATACATTGTTCCTTCAATATTTTTGCATTTTCTTTTTTATTGTTTTTAATTTTTGGGTGAGACAGTTATTCCTTTCTTCAAATTAACCACCATGCACGAAATCTAAATTGATGAAAGATATTTGTGTTTTGTATTATTCCTCTTTCCCATTGCATGCTGTTAATTCAATTAATCAATTTATGCATATTCTTATAAGCTTGCAGCTAATTATTCAAGGCAACTACTGTATATTTTAATACGTATGAATATTGAAATTATCATATGATAAAAGATAAATAATAAAAATGTTAGTATGCAAATTATTAATTACTAATGTGTGTGTAAATATTTAGTGATGCAACGAAAAAGAAAGAAAATGACATTAGTGATGAGGATAAATATTTAGGACAAAAATTTAAAATTTAGTTTAACAACATAAATCATAGATATCACAGTTTATATTTGGCCAGCACATAAATATCACTTTTTATCTGATACTCTGTGCATTTATGAGTATAGCCGAAGTCTTTAAACGTTGAGGAACTCTTCCCCCTTACCTCCCTCCCTCTGAATTTTGAATATTCTAAAGGTTTTTTAATATTATTAATAGATGAATATGTAATTAAACAGAATTTATTGATACTTTGATATATAAATTTTATGGAGTCATGAATTATGATAATTTAGGCAAACCAAAAATAAATATATGAATAGATTATATGGATTTTTTTTTTAAAAAAAATCCCAAAATAAACAGAACAATATTTCCACAAACTCTACTAAGTATTTATGAAGTTTTTTTTTTTTTAATGAAAAGGACTCACCCATCCACAGATCCACCTCAGAAGCATAGCCGTTTCAAACATTAAATTGTCCCAAATGGAACGAAAGAGAAAGAAAATTGAGTTAGTAAAGAGGAGAAATTTCAGCCCTACAAGTGGTTCATTATCAGAGCAAATGTACATTAGTGATGAGAACAAATTTTGTTTCTTTACAAAATGTAATTTCATTTTCATTGCATTAGTTTGATAAGAGAGAATACCCCAAAAGAACGATAGGGAGAAGCTTGCGTGGGTACATTATTCCTTCACAAACATATATCTCCGAAGTCTAAATTTGATTCTGGTAAAAAGCGGAAAAAGTCTAAATTTGATTGGTGCATACCTCAGTCTTACTCTCCATTTCATAAGAAGCTGCTTCTAATTATCTCCTCCTATATGAATATTTTATTTTAGTGGTATCATCTGGGTTTAAAATTAAAAGACCACTTAGTTGACGTCAATAATACACCTAAATAATACCACTATATATTAGTACTATAAATATATATATATTGATGGTGCATGTTGATTGTCTATTAAAAAAAAAAAGAAGAAATAATGCATGTACAGTAGTTTTGAAAGGAAGCAAAACATATCACATAATTGACATGAAAAGAATTAAAAGCAATGCTAGCTGTGCAAAATTGTTGTCTAAAAGCCGAGAAGAGTTGCATAATGTTAATGTTATATGATTCATTCACTACATAATCAATCTATAGTTTAAATATTTATTAAGAGGAAAAAAAGTTCAGAAAGCACTTTTTGCAGTATTGTCAGGGGCCTTCGAAAATATATACTTATGGCAGGATTTTTAAAGTAAGTGGCAAAAAAATATGACTTAAACACCCCTTAAAGTTTGATGTGTACTGACATATTATAATTAGATTTATTAAAAATTTTTTTGCCAACATTGTGATGAAAATATTTTGTGGACGATATAACTAATTAAAAAATGTAACAAAACCGGCAATCTTTAATGTTTAATTGAGGCGGTATGTCTCTGTCATCTTTAATACCTTATCATGTATTTGGAAACCAACCAAACAGGCATAAATTTGAATAAAGTGTTTTTTTTTTTGGGTTAATTTTTATTGTTCATTCTTTCTAGATCGTCTTATTCTTTTTCTTTCTTTTTCCTTTTGGTGTAACTGATCTATAGTCTAGACTCAGGTGCTTCAGTGGGGTCTGCAAAAGTAACGTAGAAAAAATGGGTATAAAGATGATAAGATATTCTTGTTGCTAAAAAAAAAAGAGAATATAGTATCTTTTCTCACAACAATATAAATAAAAACAGATTACGTACAGTTTTAGTATTATGACTGTAAACCAATATTATTTTTTTAAAATATTAATTTCGATGTAGTCTCAATTTGCATTTGTTCAACGAGCGTATAATCTATTTTATTAAATTGAGCCTTCAATTTATTTTAATTAGGGAATTTTCAAAATGAAAATACATCCACAAAAATAAATTTATAAATAACAGCTAAGTGTAAAATTGTAGTTAAAAATACTTTAGGATGTTGGAGTCTAGATACAATTAAAAAAAATACTTTAAAGTGCTAGATAAACTACAAAATACTAAAAGCTGAATTTCTTTAAGACTAGCCAAACAGAGACATTGACAAAACACTAAATCAAAATATATTCATGTTAATAACCCAACAAATAGTTGAGCATAAATGAAATCGGCCCGGTAGACTATTCAAACATTAAAGTTGTTCCCAAAACAAGTTGATTAAATAAGGGAGCTAAGAAAATTACGTCAGTGATGAAGAAAAGTTTTGATCCTATAGGTGGTATGTTATCACATAATTAAGGACCATGTTTTCATTATCATTTGTATTGTATAGGTAATAAAGTAACCCCATAAAATACGTTATTAGTAATGAGAAGGACGTAACTTTGTCGTCTCTTTAGAAAATATAATTCCACTTCTTAGATCACATTTTCATTTTCTTGGCATTATTTCATTTATGGTCAACCTTGTGGGCCATATATATAGATGATACCTCCAAAAGAACATTAATTACTATTGGGAAGAATCATGCATCGACAAATTGTCCTTACCATTCACAACATATCTATCACAAGTCTGCAATCTTTAATTCATTGGATGGATGCATTGGTACATGGACAGCTAGACTTGTAATTAGACCTCAAAGTCACACTCCATTTCACACGAAACAACTCACATGTGTGCGTGTGTTTGTAATTTTAATTAGGTAATACCATTTTAGTTTACCCAAAAGAAAATACAACAATTGACTTCAAAAACACGAGTAGTTCAGAATTTATTTTCTCTCTCCAGATTTTATATATTGTAATGGCAAAAAAAGAGCATGTATTTTTGCATGTATATTTTAAAAGACACAGACACTGAATATGATGATACAATTTCTACACCACAGGCTTGAAGGGATCATTATGTGCATATTTTTTTGAAGCATTTTGAAATATTATATTGAAGGATAACATCCTAACAAAACTAAATTTGGTTTCGTTTATATGAATATAGGATAGCACATACGTTAAAGGAGTAAGGGGTTTGAATTTTATTGTTGAAATGAAAATCATTCTAGTGGCTACCCTCCATTTGGATGGGAAGAAAAGTTGGGAAGAAAGAAAATGGAAGGAGAGAAAACGGGGAGAAAAGAAAACTGGAAAGAAAATATTACTATCTCTCCCATTTCGATGGACAAGAAAAAATAAGAAGGAAAGAAAATGAGTAAATACATGAATAACTAAAATACCCTTACTTTTATATCAAAATATATCATGATTAAAATCAAATTAAATATCATAATGAAAAACCATATTGATATTAACATCATAAAATAATTTAAAATCACGTTATTCGATAAAGATATATTATCATGTTATTATATTTTAATATCAAATGATTTTGTGAAAAAATTATTTTTCTTCTACCAGAAAAAATAACATTGTGTAATGCTAAAAAAAAAAAAAACAACCAAAACAATATATAATAGAAACGAACGATGTTTTATTTTTCATTGAAGCAGCATGTTTTAGTCATATTTGATACCCGTTGTATTTGGAGACCAAACAAATATATGTAAATTTTAATATATAAAACAATTTTTTTGTTATATTTTATTGTTCATTCTTTAAATATCTTCTTTTCGTTCTTGAAAAACTGACCTAGCCTTTTTAGAAGGGCTCTGAAAATGTTGTTGCCTGCGTCAAAGAAGGGTCCTATGACAAGATATTTTTACCATTAAAAATGATAAAGCGCAAGATGTCTTCTGTAAATTCTTTGCTTAAAAATTTCAATATTTTGATTGGAATTTCCATTTATATTATTGAACCTTTAATTTAATATCAATATCATAGCTGAATACTGGTTGGAATAACATTGTGAAACAGAACTTAAAATTGATCCCTAGATATTACATATACATATCTAAAATATTTGTTAGTAACGCATACACATATTATCACCGTGTGTTTTTAAAATTCCAAAAAGAAATACATTTTGAACTCAAAAAAATTAGCATTTTTGTAGGGAAAAAAGGTGTTCACAACTATTATTATTATTATTATTATTATTATTATTATTATTATTAGTACTACTACTACTATTGCTATTACTATTATTACCACTACCACTGTTGCTGCTACTAGTGGAATGTTGAAAATTTTGTAGTATTCTAACACAATTGTTATTTGTTATCAATGAAAAATTAAGCATAAATTTCATGTGAGAAAATCAGGCAAAAAAATTGATATTACAAGTTAAAATTTCATATTTATAAGTAAATTAATTTGTAAAATTTAAAATTTGTAAAGAAAAAGGTGAATTTCTGAAGGCCTCTATATATTTAATTTTCCGATGTGGTTCATATGAATAATTTTCCATTTAATCAAACAAACTGCATCTTTGAAGAACCACAACTCAAACTG